GGGGGGGGGGGGAAACTGTCCGAGAAATATTCCATCTGTAGGTATTTTCAGGGAATCCCCTGAGTTACGAAAAGTTCAAGTAAAAAAAGAAAAATCAGCCTATAATAATTTTTGTATATAATGACTGAACTACTATAAATCCACAAGCAACAGTTCAGACACGGTGCCTCCAAAGCGTTCATCCCCTCCCTTCCCCTGCCAGGCACGAGCTGCGTCCTGAGGAGAGGTGGAGGGGGAAACCTCTTCCCCACCTGACTCAGCTCAGGCAGCAGGAGACAGAGCCCATCACTACTGCTGGGCGCCGGCAGCAGCTGGAACGGGCATCCCCAGGGTGGTGGTGGCAGAAATGACGGGTGAGCCGGCTAGAGGTCCAAGGGGGGAAGGTGTTGGCACTGAAGAAATCCCTGGAAAAGAGGTAAGCAGGAGTTAGAGCGAAACCCAGCACATCGCTACCCGGGACAGCTTCGGGTGCTTAAATATAGTGGTAACTTTGCAGGTCAGTTTGCTGCCGCTTTATTGTGTTTTCAGAGCTGCCAAAACAAGCTGAGATGAAAGCTATGTCCCTGTTCTATGAAAACCGAGCAGATTTGTACACGTCCAGGCGTCGCTGACAGGCAGACGTACGGCAGGATCGCTGTCCTTCAGACCGCTGCCAAAAAATCCAACTACAAAGCACTTTTTAAAACGAGACCAGAAAAGCAGGTCAGGCTGCAGCGAGGCCTTATTTATCGTGCTCTCCCACCCACTGCTTCGCAGCCCTCGTCCCAGGAGATGACTTAATGCCCCACCTGCAGAACTCACCCTCCTGGATCCCCACATCACGTATAAATAAATGCTTTACAACGCCACGCACGGAGAATAACCCGACAGCAGAACTGACCTGACATCATACTCGCACTGCTGACAGGAGTGCTGCCACCCGGCATGTTGGACGAGCCCATCCGAGCCTGATCTTTCACGATGGGATCTAGGAAGAGCACACACTACCCTTAGGCGCCGTGGTGCTGCGCAGCAGCTGAAGCACAGTGGCTGCCCGCGACCTCTGCGCTCAGCCAGGCCCGACAAGGCGCCTGCGTCAAGGAACATCAACCATCATCTAAAGAAACACAGTTTTCACCCATTCCGGTGGGAAGCACCCAAGAAGGCGCCATGTTAGCGTGTATCAGCGAAAAGTCGCCTAAATGATGCGTTTTGGAGCTCAGCACGACTGCTTGGCAGGAGAAGCTGAAGGAAATTAAGGTGAAGCTGATCTCCTTATATGCTAAGCAACTGCGTAATTGCATAAAGCCAAACCAGAAAATGGGTGTAGCAAACACAAAGATTATCACTAATTACAATCACAGGCAATGTCTACACACATCCCACAGCTGCCCGGGAGTTGTAATGAGTGTCGCTGCAGCTTGTCGTCTTCTCTACAGTGTCCACAACTTACTAACTCTTTGTTTCCAGCTGTAGAGAACGCTACTGAGCGGAGACAGCCCCTTCCTGCCGTGCCAGACAAGGGAATTTCAGATCTTGCCCTTCCTCACGCTGAGTTCAGTACAACCTGTACCTCTACACGGACAGGGGTTAATTTAGCTCTTTGTCCAACTCTCAGATTCCAAGCTTTCAGCTTTACCGGTGCTCATACTCGCAGAACGTTTCACTTGAACGTTTCCCACAGGCATAACACAGATCTGTAATTTGCTAATTACACTGGTCCGTTCAGCAGCGAGAACAAAAGAACTGAGCAAATACTCATGTTTTGCATTATTACAGCTATTTCAAAAACCTAAATATCAAGACTTGGGGAAAAAAGCGTTTAAAAACATTTACTCGTGAAAGTTACATTTTTACTTACAAAACCAAGACCTAAGGTACACATTTAGCAACAAAAGGAGTTAAAAGGGCTTGTTTCTCCACAAACCAGTTTGTTTTATCAAAACCACAGGAAATCTGTGTACCCAGACACCTGCTGAAACGAGCATGGGTTTAGCACCAGCGCTTCTTTAACACAGTGCTGCTGATTCACGGGCCCGACATGGGCATTTTGTTTCCTCGGCTGGTGTAGGTGGCAGTGGCCTACTTTACCCACCACGGCGACAAGCAGCCTCAGCTCCAGCGTGGTGATTTGCAAAGACCAGGCTTATTACGTTGCCGTTCTTAGCTCCCGTCTGCACAACCTACAGGAACGGAGATTTCCCAGAGGCACAGTAACTCCTCTCTGGACAGCAGCTGATACTTACAGAAGTAAGGGTGTTCCATGGCTTCTCTCGCTGTGAGTCGTGACTGGTGATCATATCGCAACAGCTTGTCTAAGAAATCCAGAGCTTCTGGACTCACCAGATGTTGGTTCTCACTGTGAACAAAGCGCTCCCATCGCTTACGGGAGTGTCTGCAGAGAGAGATACCCTAATCAGGCTAGACAAAGGATGTCAGGGCCCAAATTCACTTTTTGAAAAGAGAAAAGGACTGCGACAGATTCCCGGCCCCGGGAGGGGCCGCTGCTCCGTGTGGCAGCCCCGGGGCTGGGCTGCACCAGAGCGCGAAGCGCAGTACTCCGGGTGTCCACGCGGCGGCACAGCCACCACAGCCCCGCCGGCATGAGTACGCAAGTTCAGAAGGGATTTACAGGCCTAAAATCCCAGCTCCTGCTCTTACTTCCCCAACATTAGTTCCTTGTAGCTTTGGTATGCGTCTCACAAAATAACTCTATGAGGGAAAAAAATATATAAATGCGATCTTCTGCATTTTCTGCACTGTAACTGAGAAACACCGTTCTGGTTTTTTGTTGTTTTGTTTTGGTTTTTTTTCCCCCTCAGCATACTGGAGTGAGCATGCTTTATGCTCCAGCAGTTCATTTATTGCCGAGATGACATTTCAAAACCCTTCCTCAAGTCCATTTGCAGATACAGGACCAGGGGAAGCCCTGGTAAAAGGGCTCAAAGGCACAAAGTGACAGTTCTCAAGAATCTTGGCTCTGACTTCTCTCACAAGCAGAAGTTTTTGTTTACTTCAAGGTCTGCTGACAAAGCAGTAGCTGTCCGGGTTAACCAAGAGCTTATGAGCTACTCTGGACCTTGGCTCACCTGCCCAAGATGTCATTGAAACGTGGATCCAGTTCAATGTTGTATTTGTCAATGTAGTCATAGAGATCTTCTGTTCCCAGCACCTTGGCTATCCTCACCAGCTGGGAACAAACAGAAAAATAAGTCACTGCTGTGAGGGTATGATAAAGCATGAAGATACAGCAGCACATTCCCACGGGAGCTTCAACTTGATCTCAGTGATCTGAACCAGCAGCCACAGGGTGATCCCACGGCTCTGACTACCCTGGCCACAGACAGTCACAGGCAGCACGGAGTCACCCACGGCAGGCAGGAGGGAGCTGCATACCTTAACAGCACTAGAACTTGAGACCTTACAACACTAACTCCCTTTGTGGCAAGAAAATAATCAAGACCAGCAAGCGGGGAAGGCAAGAATAACTGGTTAAAAAAGCAGAAACTCTGTAACTTGCACGTGAAGGGTGAAGCATCACCCCGGAGGGCTCTGGAATGAAGGTTTGAGAACAGAAAATCGCTGTTCTTGAATGTCTGCACGTTAGTTCAGACGCAGAGCATGTATTAAAAGCATAAAAATGTTGGCCTAAAGGCAACACATCAAAGATTTCAGAATCTATATAAAACTGTACCAAATTCACAGTTTCTATGCAGAGGGGAGGGAGGGTGGAGAGTGGCGGGGGCTTTCCACATAACATAACCTCAGGAATAGTTAATCTACATACCAGAACACACCAGCCTTAATATAACTATTGTCAGAGCTTTTTCCAGATACCTACTGAGGAACTCCTAAGTACAAAGCACTATAAATCTATTTCTGTTTAATTGGTTAGATAACCTGGCACACTTGAGAAAAGGAACGTGGCTTCAAACTGAGCAAAGAAGCCGTTAGAGGAATGCTTGAATTCTTCAGATCCCTCGACAGAAGTATAAGCAGGAAACCTTTCGTGGTGCTAAGAGAACAGAGATTGTACATGACCAGCTCTCACCTGATCATAGTTGTCATGGCCATGGAAAAATGGCTCCTTTCGGAATATCATACTAGCCAACATGCAACCCAAGCTCCACATATCCAGACTGTAATCATACATCTGTACAAAACCAGAAGGACAATTCAATTTCTAATGAATTAAGCAGAACAGACTCCCAATACTAACAGGGTCCCCCCTCCCTCCAGCGATACAAACGCGGCCACGTTACGCTGGGAACAGACTGAAATATCTTCATCACTAGATCCCTGTTCAGCTCAGTGTTCCAGTTACTCAAACTGGGATACAGCAATTAGCAGGTATCCTATTCCCATCCCTGTCCATAAAGCCATTGAAGACCAGTTGCCTTTTTTCTGCTTTCACCGCAGCCTTCAATGTTAGGAATCATTGAGACGCGTGTTGAGAAGGGAAGCATCGCAACGAGCAACACGAGGAGCGGCCTCCACAGGGTACACGGGCAGCGAGGAAGCACTTTCATTCAGAACCAGCACGATCTGAAAGTCACCAGTAACGCTGCTATTTCCATAATGCAAACTGCCATCAGATACGGGGGATGTTTTTATAGCTCAGTTTAGAAGTTCATGCAGTACTAGCTATTCCCACAAGGGCTTTGTTTCATTCCTGTTCCTTACTGCAAACGCAGCCTTGCTAAAAAAACCACTCAACATTTGTATTCCAAGATCCATGGTGATGGTTCTGTGGCTCTTCCTCAGGTCCTGAGACTACTCATTAGTTTCTTTAAATCAGTGGCTTTATAGTCACTGCTTTCCACAATACGTTTTAAAATGGACTGTCTTTAGCTTCAGGTCTCTAGATATCTGAATTTCTGATTTGCTACCTTGAAATGGCACAGACTTTCCACACAAAAGTCAGGGATAAATCCTGGTAATTCTTACCTGATAATCTACAAGGAGTTCGGGTCCTTTGAAATATCTGGAAGCCACTCTGACATTGTACTCTTGGCCAGGGTGATAGAATTCAGCCAAACCCCAGTCTATTAGTCTAAGCTAGAAATGGTAGAAAACAAAACAAGAAGAGGCTCAAGGGATGCTCCAGCTCTGCAGTGGCTGAATCACCCTACGGGTGAGCTTAGTCTGAAGCTCAGAATGAAGTCTTCTATTTTCAATTAATTTGAAGGTGATCAGAGTATTTGTTTAGATATTCTCCCCAAACCCGTACCACCAACCAGTCTAAATAAAATACCTCTCCTTACCGAGCTCGTTTATGGGTCACACGTAACCCGTAAAAACCTTAAAAGCAGTGTACAGAATTTCATTTTACATTTCTCCACATGACAAGCGCAGTCCCCCTTGAAGATGTCTGCTAGTACCACTACACAGGAATACCCAGAAGGGATCCTAGCTTGCCAAGAGAAAAGCAGGACCCTCTCCCCACCCTCCCGCCACCCCACGTTACCTTTCTGTGCTCGTGGTCAATCATGACGTTGTGAGGTTTGACATCTCTGTGCATGATTCCCATGCTATGGCAGTAATCTAGAGCCTGTGGTGATACAAAGAAAGAGATGCTCGAGTCACAAGAACCTCTCAAGTTCAATCTTATTCAGAAGTATCTCCACGTAAACCAAGCCTAAACTAGGTGGCAAAACTTTACTGTCCGGTGTTATATCCTGGACTAGACTCGTGGAGCAGAGAACACCTCTAGAGACCCCTCTCAAAGGGAGGTCCCAGCAACAGAAGCGTTTTGACTTCATGTGCTTCCTCATCAAAAATGGAATTTCTGAGTCCCTTAGAGCACAGTTACTAGGCGCTATTGATCAAACAAGGCTCCCCTTCTCCAGACTCTCGAGGAGAAAATATTTGTTTCAGAAGAATGCACAAATACATTTGACTGACATTACACTGCAGCACAAAACTAGCCAACAACAGCTTAGAATTTTCTGTTTTCAGAGGCTACATGTACTTCTGATTTAGGATCTTAACTCATCTCAGTCCGTCCAAAGACTCCGCTAGTCTCAAAAAAAAAAAAAGACTAGCAGTTTTTTGCAGAAACAAGGCTGAACAATTGATACTGACTTGATATCTATTTTTCTGCCCAATTCTTCCGTAGGCTTCCTCTCCCCTTCCCCCCCATTAGTGACATGATAACCATCTCTATAGGATTAGCTGAGTACAAATCCTAGAAATAAACCAACAAAACAGCAAACCACCAACTTACCTTCAAAATCTCATACATGTAGAATCGAATATCATAATCTGTTAATGTCTGGTATAATTGCTGTGGGACAGAAACACATCATATCAGTGTTCAACACTCAAGAAATATATCACATCCCTGCCAATCCAGAACAACCCAGCCCGTTCTCCGCTGCCACGGGTCTCCAAACCCATCTGAAGGAACAGCAGAAGTTTCCCAAGGTACTCGGATCCCACTCCCATCAGCCCGTTCCTCTCCCCTCACAAAGCACAGGGTTTACTCCCAGCTCTGCTCAGACTGTACGTTGTGGTTCTGTCACTAACCCCCTCGCGTTGCCCTCACCCGATGTGCTTGCACCCAGCGGGCAGCCCGGGTCTCAGAAAGACTGAGGGTGCTCTGCAACATTAAGCAGCTGTTCCAGATGGCACTGCACAGCCACTCTTCTCCTGAGGCAGGTCAGTCAGGAAGGGCACAAAGAAACATTTACATCTCTTTTCTCAGAAGTATGGAAAGCCACAGAAACAGCTGTCCACATTTAAAGTGGTTCCAAGAAAGAGTTATGCACTGCCCGTAAAAGCAAAATGTTTCAAAAAGACCAGTACTGATGGTCCACGCGGTAACAGATTAATTTGCTCCCACGGTTAGAACATCACTTGGAATCTGGATTCTCATCTTGCAACTTCTGTGGCAAAGTGGTACTAAAGGACTCATTCCAAACTTCCGTCCCAAGCATATTTACCTTTAAAGACAGTTACTAAGTCGGAAGGAAGTGACTCAATAACCTGCCTGCTCCCTACCTACTTGCCTTTCCTCAGAGAAACATTACAAATGGCTTTCAAATGGAAAACATTAGACATTCACATCCCACACCATACCTTAAAGTCTGTGTTGTTTACATGTTCAAAAACCAAAGCGGGTGTCCGAGACTAAAACAGAGAGAAAAGTGTTCGGCCATGTTAAGGTGAGATAACATGTTTTCTCTTAGGATAATGAGCTAAACAGCTTTTACTCCTAAAACTGCTAGAAGCCCCTCTGCCTCAGACAAGACTTATGATTCCCCCCAGACAGAGAAAGCAGAGCCCAAGCCTGCAGCGCCTGGCAGCGCTGTTTGTGGAATGAATTAACTTGTCTCAGCTCAGTGGTAGCTCGTCCTTACAGGGTGAGGGGCTGAAGGGACCTGTGAGGGAAGTGCCCTCAAAGAGAAGTTAATCAGATTAAGAGCTGATCTGATTAAGCAATTCAAAAGCAGGATTTAAGAGCGAGGGAAAACAAAAAGCCAGCTCAGAGCTCAAGTCAAACACAGCAACTTCACCCGTAACCCCGGTGGAACCTTTAAGTTCCTTCCATACTCACCACAGGATCTTTTACTATATCTGCAAGAGTGATTATATTGGGACCGCCTCGCAAGTTCTCTAAGATCTTGATTTCACGCTTGATTTTCTTCTTTTTAACAGGCTGAAGAATATAAAACCCAAAGTGTAAGACAAAAAACACTGCGGTAAACCGAGGCTAATGGCTCATCATGCAGATGACACAGGCAGGTGACTGCAAGTCAGCAAAACACCTCAAGGCTTTTGCAAGTGAAGCTCAAACAGCCAGATCTTCTTGTTACCCGACTACGCATCCTTCCAGTAAGGGCTCAAACGTCTGCAGTCTGCTTTCTAACCATACAACCCTGACAGCTACAAATACTAGTGTCATGTTAATGAGGGTTAGGAAGGTGGCTTTTCC